AAACTTTATTTATTTATTTATGTGTTTTTTAAGCACCTAATAATTCAAAGATTTATACATGGGAGTTGAGGGGAGAACCTCATATCCCAAAATTTTGTTTCCTGTTATTTACTACTTGTCATGATTGGATGTGAGGATAGCTAAAAACAAAATATGGTTTATGAAGATCCATCATTGGCTTTTTAATTAAATACCCACTAAATTTTGGCGTGAATTGCCAATAGCATAGGGTTCCAATTTTAGTGCATTCCTTTAAAAAATATAGAACCTTTTCATTTTTTATTTATGAGAAAAACAAAATAAAAGAACCACAATAAATCAAGATATATTGATTACACTCAGTTTAGCGTTATTATATGCTCCATTCTAATACAATATATTCCATCACTAAATAATTTACACACTATATGAAATGTTAATTTTCACATTTCTATATGAGTGAAAAAAATAAAACCACTGTGATCCCACCACAACATGTTCCACAAATGCATTCATTTTGACTTGAGGTCTGCGGTTGAAGACTTTAACTGTTGCAATATTGTTCAAACTTTTGAGTGGCTCATTTATACTTCCCGTAGTGCCTCGAAGTTAGATTAGGGAAAAAAGGCTACGACATAGTACAATCACACCACCAGGAATTTTTTCTTGGCTTAAGTAGGACTAGGTCCCTAAACCGGTCTTAGGGCGCAAATCGGACCAAACACAAGCCTGGAATCCCCATAGGTGAAGAGACTCGCCTAGCAGCCCCTGGCATACGTTTAGACCAAACACCATCAATGCAAGATCTGGAGAGTGAAATAGATTTCTGTCAACGCGCATCTATTATAAAAAATATCAATATTGATCAAATAATTGAGATCTGGTGATACCAAAACTTTATTTATTTATTTATGTGTTTTTTAAGCACCTAATAATTTTGAGATTTATACATGGGAGTTGAGGGGATGGCCCCTTATCCCAAAAATTTGTCCTCAATGTTGTATATGAGGATAGCTAAAAAATATAGATGGTATATGAAGATCCATCATAAGATTTTTAATTAAATATCCACTAAAATTTGGCATGTACCACCAATAGCCTAGGGTTTCAATTTTAGTACATTCCTTTTAAAAACATAAAACCTTTTTATTTTTTTATTTATGAGAAAAACAACATAAAAGAACCACAACAATTAAAGAAATCAAGATATATTGTTTACACTCAGTTTAGTGCTATTATATGCTCCATTATAATATAATAAATTCCCATCACTAAATAATTTACACACTATATGAAATGTTAATTTTTACATTTCTATATGAGTGAAAAAATAAAACCACTCTGATCCCATGACATGTTCCACGGATGCATTCATTTTGACTTGAAGTCGATAGTTGAAAACTTCAACTCCTGTAACATTGTTCAAACTTTTGAGTCTCTCATTTACACTTTCTGTAGTGCCTCGAAGTTAGATTAGGGAAAAAAGACTATGACCCTAGTGCAGTCATAGCATCGAGAATCTTTTCTTGGCTTAAGTAGGACCAGGTCCCTAGACCGGCCTAAGAGCATAAATCAGACCGAACATAGTCTTGGCACCCCTTTAGGTGAAAAGATTCACCCAGTAGCCCCCAGCATGCTTTTTGACCAAACACCGTCAATGCAAGTTCTGGAGAGTGAAATAGATTTATGTCAACGCGCATCTATTATACAAAATATCAATATTGATCAAACGATTGAGATCTAAGGATACCTAAATTTTATTTATTTATTTATGTGTTTTTTAAGTACCTAATAATTCAGAAATTTATATATGAGAGTTGAGGGGAGGGCTTTTTATCCCAAAAATATGTCCCCTGTTATGCATTACTTGCCAAGATTGGATTTGAGGATAGCTAAAAAAAAAATATTGTATATGAAGATTCATCAACAACTTTTTAATTAATTAAATACCCACAAAAAATTGTCATATACCGCCAATAGCCTAGAGTTCTAATTTTAGTATGCTCCTTTCAAAAACATAGAACCTTTTCATTTTTCTATTTATGAGAAGAACCTAATAAAATAATCACAACAAATCAAGAGATGAAGACAAATCGATCACACTCAGTTTAGTGTTATTTTATGGTCCATTCCAATACAATATATTCCCATTATTAAATAATTTACACACTATATGAAATGTTAATTTTTACATTTCTATATGAGTGAAAAAATAAAACCACTCTGATTACACCACAAGTTTCACGTATGTATATATGTATTTATGCAGTTAAAGACTTCAACTCTTGTTGCATTGTTCAAACTTGAATTCATCAAAGTCCAACCATTTGATTTCTGAACTATACACATATCAACAATATCATTTCCAAATGTTGAATTCCAATCCCCCATATTGGAGTCGTCAAATCTAGATATTTAAATAATTAGAGAATAAATTAATCATAGCTACCTCTTTTGAATTGCCTTTGGGCTTATTCAATCGCTAATGGGCTTCTGAATATTTTGTAAGCAACTTAGCTTTGGGCCACGCTATTGTTGTATCTTTTGTTATGGGCCTAATGTCCAGTTAATATATCTTATATGTAATAAAACATATAATGTATGTATATATGTATTTATGCAGTTAAAGACTTCAACTCTTGTTGCATTGTTCAAACTTGAATTCATCAAAGTCCAACCATTTGATTTCTGAACTATACACATATCAACAATATCATTTCCAAATGTTGAATTCCAATCCCCCATATTGGAGTCGTCAAATCTAGATATTTAAATAATTAGAGAATAAATTAATCATAGCTACCTCTTTTGAATTGCCTTTGGGCTTATTCAATCGCTAATGGGCTTCTGAATATTTTGTAAGCAACTTAGCTTTGGGCCACGCTATTGTTGTATCTTTTGTTATGGGCCTAATGTCCAGTTAATATATCTTATATGTAATAAAACATATAATGTATTTTAATATTACAAATTAATTATAATTTAATATTTGCATATAATATAATATAAATATGGTATATGATAATATAAAATAAATAAAAAACATAATAAATCATAAATATTTTTGTCTCAAAATATTATTTATACGGAGTAATATTAGGTGTCATAAATATATATTTTTTAGTATTTAATATAATAAAATTAGTATATAACATGAATAATATGAATTTTTTTTGAAAGTAAAAACATTTTTTATTATGAAGAAATTAAAAATATGGCAATAACCAACCAAAGCAATATATATTGATTTTAGTTTACACAATTAATATGATCAAATTAATTAAAGGTGATGATGGAACATAGATGGATTCCTATCACTTGTTTTTCGCTGGGACTCTGCAGCTGTTGTGCACCTTGTTGTTTCTTATCTTATAGGTCCCTCTTGTACATTTTTCTTCATTTATACAAGCTTACCCTTTAACTTAAAAAAAAAAAAAAAAAAAAACATAGATGTCTCACTTGTGTTATTGTTTTATCTTTTTCCCTACTGTCAGGCTTATTTTGGCTTTTAGCCTTTCAGATTAGCTTTATCTATTCTCTTTCATAAATTAATTATTAGATCATCAACGATCAAAATCGTTGTTGAGATTTTTTTATAATATATTAATATATTATTATGGAAATTTGAATTTAATTAGTTTATCAAGAATTTATGGGCATGGACCACTTTTTTGAATAGTCTTTCCATTCCATTTGACTAATACTGTTCATTAGTTTTTTTCACACTTGAGTCTTACCGAGCAAGCTAGGGATATAAAAATCCATATATATTGTAGCAAGCAAAACGTACCCTATTTTTTCTCTCACCTCCTCCCACATCTCATTTTAGATCAGCTTCATCCTCTTCTGGGTAGTCTTGATCCATACACAGACACACACACACATATATAACCCTCATCTTCTACATAAATATGATCATTTCACACCCAACACATATATAGATTCAACCAAGTATATATATAGTATTTTACAAATACATATATATAAAAGTTGTAAGAAACTAAGGTCATAAGGTGGATCTAAACAGGCATGGGAAGAGGCCTCTTCCATCCGATGATTCGTCGGAGAAAAAAGAAGAAGAAGAAGAAGAAGAAGAAGAAAACAATAACATATTTCCTGTCAACTCAGCTAGATCCCAACAAGACATGTCCACTATGGTGTCAGCACTCGCTCAAGTTAATATAATATTACAAATTAATTATAATTTAATATTTGCATATAATATAATATAAAGATGGTATATGATAATATAAAATAAATAAAAATACATAATAAATCATAAATATTTTTGTCTCAAAAAATTATTTATATGGAGTAATATTAGATGTCATAAATATATTTTTTTAGTATTTAATAAAATAAAATTAGTATATAACATGAATAATATGAATTTTGTTTGATAGTAAAAACGTTTTTAATTATGAAAAAATGAAAAATATGGCAATAACCAACCAAAGCAATATTTATTTATTTTAGTTTACACAATCAATATAATCAAATTAACATGGATGCCTCACTTGTGTTATTGCTTTATCTTTTTTCCCGTTGTCAGGCTTATTTTGACTTCTGGCATTTTAAATTAGCTTTATCTCTTCTCTTTCAGAAATTAATTCTTAGATCCTCAATGATCAAATTATTTCGTTGTTGTTAAGATTTTTTTATAATATATTAATATTTTCTTATGAAAATTTGAATTTAATTGGTCCATCAAGAATTTATGGACATGGACCACTTTTTTGAATAGTCTTTCCATTCCTTTTGACTAATACATATAAAATCCATATATATTGTAGCAAGCAAAACCCTATTTTTTCTCTTTCACCTCCTCCCCACATGCACTCTCATTTTAAATCAGCTTCATCCTCTTCTGGGTAGTCTTGATCCACATACACACACACATATATAACCCTCATCTTCTACGTATATACGATCATTTCACACCCAACATATGTATAGATTCAACCAAGTATATATATATAGTATTTTACAAATACAAATATATATAAGTTGTAAGAAATTAAGGTCATAAAGTGGATCTAAACAGGCATGGGAAGAGGCCCCTTCCTTCCGCTGATTCATCGGAGAAAAAAGAAGAAGAAGAAGAAGAAAACAATAACATATTTCCTGTCTACTCAGCTAGATCCCAACAGGACATGTCCGCAATGGTGTCAGCACTCACTCAAGTTATTGGAAACACTGATAAAAACCTTCTTCATGATATGCCTGCAGGAAACTCAGTAGCCATAGGCATGGCCGGGCCGGGTGCAACGGTGCCTCCTGATCAGTCTCAACCCAATATTCAAGATCAAGGTAACATAAATACATATATATTCATATCATATACGTAGTATTAGATAATCCTGTTTAGAATATATATATATATATATATTATACATATGTTGAAAAGTTAGACTTGAACACGTTGATGACCACCACTTCTACTTCAAGCTCACTAGGATGTTGTATTTGGTCAACTGACTGGTTAGATTTTGGTATGATTCTGCATGCCTGCTTAAGCATATGAACTCTCTCTCTCCTATGCCCTAAATCTGGAATAATTTGAGAAAAAAAAAAAAAAAAATCTGGAATAATGACATGAAAACAACTAGACAACATGAAAACAACTAGAGCTAATTAATAATAACATGAAATCAACTAGCTAGTTCAACCGAAAAAAATAAAAATAGCTAGTTCACACTATATGTTTTATATTTTCGCTCTTCATTTATCATTCTGATTCAATCTAGGAAATGGTCTGTGGTATTTACTACATTCATGTTTTTGCAGTTTACAACCATCATATATATATATATATATTTATATAGTTACAGATGTTAGAAGAATATAATAAATAAAACTAATTAACCTAATTATTTTCATGTATGGCCTTTGATTGAGGCTATCCGTGGCATTAGATAGAGTTAGAATGGAAACATAAGATTCATGTAGCCGACCTCAGATAGTTGGAGAAAATGCCTGTTGTTGTTCTTGTGGTGGTGATTTTCACGTATGGCGTGATATGTCAAAGCTACATATATTATAAACAAATCTATATGTACATTGTGAAGGGAACCAAGGGAGAAGACACTATAGAGGGGTGAGGCAAAGGCCATGGGGCAAGTGGGCAGCCGAAATACGAGACCCTAAAAAAGCAGCAAGAGTGTGGCTAGGTACTTTCGAAACAGCTGAGGCTGCTGCACTTGCATATGATGAAGCAGCTCTTAGATTCAAAGGAAACAAAGCTAAGCTCAACTTCCCTGAAAGAGTTCAAGGGAGAACCGAGTTGGGTTACATAACAACTCATCAAGACTCGCGGTTCATGGCTCACTCGGTTGCTCCTCCTCCTCCTCATCCAGTACTTCTGCCTCAAAATATATATCCTAATAATTTTGCTCATTATGCACAAGTTCTTGGTAGTGAGGATCATAATTTGAACCACGCCATACCATCCGGTATCTACCACAGAGGAACATATCTTTCACCGTCTATGTCTTCATCTTCAACATCTTCCTCTGCATCAACATATAATTGGCAACAAGAAGGAGGAGAGGTTAGAAGACTTCCACCACAGTCTAGAAGTTCTTCTTCAAGTTGTGATCCTCCAAAGAATTGGGAAGATTTTGATCCTAATGATCACTCGAAAGGGTAGTTGATCCAAGTTCACTGGAGATATATACATCATCTTATATCTATTGTGATTTTCTTTTTTATGCTCAAAAACTTTTTTCTTAAGGGTTTTCAAGAAATGTTGGTTTGATGATTTTTGTGTTGTATCGGGCCGGAAAATTTTTAACAATCAAAAGAAGATTTTATGAGATGAAGTATATTGCATTGCAACATATATAGTCAAAATATATCTTGATTATAATTTCAAGTTAATATATATCACTTGGGATGGAGATGCACCAAAGAACGTTGGATCATCACCAATTTGATTATAGAAGTTTATTTTTAAGGTTTCTTGATATGCCTCTTGCAAGGTTTGAATTTAATAATGATCTTGCTCCATAATTGCCTGAAAGTTACACATTTGAAACCAAAGATGTTTTTTTTCTATAAGGTTACTTGCATCGACTGGCCAGATCTTATAATAACAGGAGTTTCACGAACTAGGCTAGCTCTTAGTATGCAAACCAACATATTATAGAACTTTACCACCTCATATCGAAGTGCTAGAAGAATGCTAAGTCACACTTTTCCTGATTAGAGAGTTGAGTTTTTGATTGAATTTGATTAGATCATATATGATTCAACACTATTTAATAATTTTTCCTCAACAAAAAGTTTTAGGTAATAAAAAATAGATGAGATAGTGGGTCCCACCACACCACCATCTCAGCAAGCATACAGCTGGTGCGATACACCACACCATGTACTTGTTCGTGTCAAGCCTGCAAACTGTAAAAGACACTATTAAATTAACGTATATGTCTGCAAATACACTCCGAATATATTTTACGGGTCAAAAAAAAAACACTATTATACGGGTCAAAAATAAAGCAAAAAAAAACAGGAGACGAGACAGAAGAAAAGGAATACTTATTTCACAAGCTAGTTGTTGAGTTTGAATTGTATCCCCATTGAGATTCTCAAAGTGGAAGCTTGATCGAGCTTTGATATATATATATATCCAAAGGTAGCTTCTAAGATATATATAATATATCATACATATAATGTGTGTGTGTGTGTGTGAAAATATATACTCGCCGAAAATTTATCATATATATATATATATAAGTGTGAAAATGCTCACTGAAAAAAATATATATATATATATATATATATAAGTGTGAAAATGTTAACAAAGTGTAGTCATGGAAATCGGCTAAGGTTGGTTTTTTTTTTTTAACACGTGTGCATTGCATATATCAGTAGTTTGAACACTTTGGTCAGCCTGTTCTAGAAGGCCAAAGATGATAACTGTTCTTCTTAGCACACTACACTATGTAATTACAGTAATTTACACACACACACACACACTAACATATATGTGTTCAGCTTATTAGTACTTTATAGTATCATTTATTCCTTCAGATATAACAGATAAGTCTCTCTCTCTCTCTCTCTCTCTCTCTCTCTCTCTCACCTGAAACTTCCATATGTGTCTAATGATACTTCTCTAAGTCTTTTGTTTTGACCCGTATCTTTGTTTTTTTTTTGGTTTTGTTTTGACCCGTATAATATTTTGTTTATAAAGTGCATTTGTAACTACACTAAAGTATTCGGGCTATTAGCTCAGTGGTAGAGCGCGCCCCTGATAATTGCATCGTTGTGCCTGGGTTGTGAGGACTCTCAGTCACATGGATAGTTCAATGTGCTCATCAGCGCCTGACCCTGAGATGTGGATCATCCAAGGCACATTAGCATGGCGTACCCCTCCTGTTCGAACCGGGGTTTGAAACCAAACTTCTCCTCACTAGTATTGCTTGATAGAAATATTTTTTCTTTGTTTAAGAAAAAGGAATTAACTGGAAAAATTACAAATACACTAAAATATACATATATAACATATCTACAACAAAGTGGTAAATGGTAATAGCATGTGCAAATTTTGCAAAATTCACAAACCAATCAAGTTCTAGGCAATACAACACTACGGAGTGGCGGTAGCTTGTATTGAGGTGGGTGAGTAAAAAGGGTTGGCCGGCCAAGCACTTCGTGATAGCAAACAGGAAGAGTGAAGTTTACCAAACACTTGGATGGAAAGGCTCTTATACAGCCTTAATTGTGGCTTTGTCGAAATAGACTGCACCTCTAACCAACCCCCTTCCCTTTGATAATCAAAGGTCTATGATCAATCAATAGGAGGTTTCGTACAGAAAGACACTCACTTCAGCCTCGTCACTCGTTCACAGTTCCAATCTCAAAAGTTTGGAAGAATGGTAATCCATATTTTGGATTGTCAACAATCCATCTCAAAATCCAATAATACAAATCACAACCATACAAAACTCAAACCTGCCTGATGAAACAACACATATCAAAATCCAATAATACAAATCACAACCATACACAACTCAATTGTATTAAGCATCAAAGATGATTTGATATTCTAGTTCTAGAATTCTTAATTTCTGTGTCCTTTCCTCCTTCTTCCATGCCTCTATTTATAAGCTTGATGACATGTGCTCGGTAATTTGTGTTAGAATTTTATATAAACTCTTTAAATATATCTTTGTCTAAATATATATTAATAATACCCGTATAATTAGATTCCTTTTATTAAAAAAACTCATAATAAATAGATAAATTGGTAATTTGTGTAAAGTTTTATAGAAACTCTTTAAATATATCTTTGTCTACTGTGATAGAGTTTTATTGAAAATAAAATAGATAATTTGTGATAGAGTTTTATATAAATTATTTTATTTTCTTCAGAAATATCATTCTCTAATTAGATTTTTTTTATTATATCAATTAATAAATAATATAAATAATTTTTTATATTAATAATATTCGTATAATTGGATTTCCTTTTATTAAAAACTCATAATAAATAGATAAATAGGTAATTTGTGTTAGAGTTTTATAGAAACTCTTTCAATATATTTTTATCTAATGTAATAGAGTTTTATTGAAAATAAAATAAGTAATTTGTGGTAGACTTATTCTTGTCTAATTAGATTTTATTTTATTTTATAGAAACTCTTTTAATAATAGTATAGATTCATTAGGTATAAACTCTTTAAATATATCTTTGTCTAATATGATAGAGTTTTATTGAAAATAAAATAGATAATTTGTGGTAAAGTTTTATATAAATTATTTTATTTTCTTCAAATATATCCTTCTCTAATTAGATTTTCTTTTATTATATCAATTAATAAATAATATAAATAATTTTTTATATTAATAATACTCGTATAATAAAATTTATACAAATTTAACCTAGCATAAATCATATGTCATGCTCTTTACAATGGAATACAATCATACTAAACAACCGGCATACCACATGCAGCACGTAAGTACATAAACATGTTATCAAACCAAAACATGTTATCATAAAGCATATAAACATATAGAGTATGGCAACACAAGCATGATATTCACCCAAAACCTATCGTCCAAGGTATTCGAACCCGGACCCTCTGATACCACCTGTGACGACCCTGGATTTTTCAACCCAGTGTGTCCTGTGATGAACCAAAAGATGACCCGATAACGAATCCGAAATGCGGAACCAAAATCTCCCAAAATTTCAACATCAAGCAAGCAAGTATGGTCCTCCACACATCAAGAAAATGATCATGGCAACTCTAGAATCCTTTTGAGTGGATCGGCATCAAATGTGTTACTATCTTAGCCAACTAGAGAAATGATCACATCCTTACCCTCAAAGTAGCACACAAATCTAGTACCGATTATTAAGACAAAAAGTAGACCTTTTATTAAAGCTTTATTGTTCTAGGTGCGCTTATTCTTTTCACTCGAATTTTTTTTTTTTTTTTTTTATTTATTTTATTTTTTAATAGGATCAAAGATGGAAGTATGGTGTAATGTAGTGATCTATTAAGTTTTCTAGCGATTCATGAGGTCGAGCGTTAGGTCAATGACTCCCAAACCAGACGGCTTTAGGGCATTAGGCATTCAAATACCCCTACGGGCTTACAAGTTCAAATCAACTAGGCTACAAATCAAGACAACAACCATCTAATTATTTCCTACTTCTCAATTTTTGAGAGAAGTCCTCACTTTTTATTACTTTTGCTTTTGCCTTATTTATTTATTTATTTATTTTTTTTAAAGCAAGTTTAATTATTAACCTAGAGTTTGGGCCCTCCACCTTTCGGGGTGAAAAGTTCAGTGCTTGATGAGGCTAGAATTCCGGCTACTTAGTGAATTTCCTGATAATTCATCGGAGAAAAAAGAAGAAGAAGAAGAAGAAGAAGAAGAACACAATAACATCTTTCCTGTCTACTCAGCTAGATCCCAACAAGACATGTCGGCCATGGTTTCAGCACTCACTCGAGTTATTGGAAACACTGACGTGCCTGCACCAGGAAGCTCACTAGCCATATGCATACCCCAGCCGGTGCAACTGTGCATCCTGATCAGGATCAACCCAATATTCAAGATCAAGGTAACATAAATACATACATGTATCATACTATTATTAGATAATCTTGTTTATAAATTAATATATATTATGTGGACAAGTTAGGCTTGAACAATTTCAAGTAATCTTTCATTTACCCAAAAAAAAAAAAAAAAAAAAGGTTAGGACTTGAACATGTTGATGACCTCCACTTCTATTTCAAGCTAACTAGGATGTTGTATTTGGTCAACTGACTATCTGGTTGATTTTGCAGGAAAAGTGTTGTGTTTTAATAGATATTTTTGCTATATATGGTTCTTTTTTCTCTAATTTAATGAAATGATCTAAGCACAATTGATTTATTAATTTCCAAAATTTTCCTGAATAGCCAAGTGCAACCTTTGTGTATATATATATGGAACCTTTGTGTATATATATGGATCTCTACACTGGTTTGATTCTGCATGCCTGCTTAAGCATGGGAACTCTCTCTCTCTCTCTCTCTCTCTCCGAAAGAAGAATATGAAAACAACATGAAAACAAGTAAAGCTAATAAATAATAACATGAAATCAACTAGCTAGTTCACACTATACCTAACGCGCGCGCGCACACCCACAAAAAAAAAAAAATTTAGTTCACACTGTATATCTTTTATATTTTGGCTCTTCATTTATCATTCTGATTCAATCCAGGAAGTGGTATGTGGTATTTGCTATATTCATGTTTTTGCAGTTTACAACCATCATGTATGGCCTTTGCTTGAGGCTATAGGATTCATGTAGCCGACCCCAAATAGTTGGAAAAAAAACTCATTGTTGCCATCGTCGTCATCAATGATTTTCATGTAATATGTCAAATTAAGCTACATAAATAATAAAGAAATCTATATGTGTATTGTGAAGGGAACCAAAGGAGAAGACACTATAGGGGGGTGAGGCAAAGGCCATGGGGCAAGTGGGCTGCCGAAATACGAGACCCTAAAAAAGCAGCAAGAGTTTGGCTAGGCACTTTCGAAACAGCTGAGGCTGCAGCACTTGCATATGATGAAGCAGCTCTTAGATTCAAAGGAAACAAAGCTAAGCTCAACTTCCCTGAAAGAGTTCAAGGGAGAACTGAGTTGGGATACCTAACAACTCGTCAAGACTCGCGTGTCATGGCTCAACAAGTACTGTCTGCTGACTCGGTTCCTCCTCATCCAGTCCTTCCGCATCAAAATAAATATCCTAATTTTCCTCATCATGCAAAAGTTAGTGGGGATCATAATTTGAATCATGCCACATCATCCGATATCTACCATAGAGGATCATATCTTTCGCAGCCTATGTCTTCATCTTCATCTTCAACATCTTCATCCTCAACATACAATTGGCAAAAACAAGGAGGAGAGATTAGAAGACTTCCATCAGAATCTAGAAGTTCTTCAAGTTGTGATCCTACCAAGAACTGGGAAGATTTTGAACCCAAGATCACTCCAAAGGGTAGTTGATCCAAGTTCACATGAGATTGATAGAGAAGTACTTGTAAACGATGAATTAACTTGGGCGATACATCATCTTATATCTATTGTGATATTCTTTTTTATGCTCAGAAACCTTTTTTCTCAAGGGTTTTCAAGAAATGTTGGTTTGATCATTTTTGTGTAGTATCGCGCAGGAAGTTTTTAACAATCAAAAGAAGCTTTTGTGATGAAGTATATTTCATTTCAACATATATAATCAAAATTTCATGAAAGTCACATATCTATCACTCCGGATGGAGGAGCATCAAAGAACCTTGAAGCATCACCAAATTGGATTGTGAGTTTATTTTGTAAGGTTTCATGATATGCCCCTAACGAGGGTTTGAATTTAATAATGTTGGTGCAAGCTACTCCATTGTGACTTGAAGGTTACAGGGTTGAAATAGGAAACAACCTATCATGCACTGATAGGAGCTAACCTCATACACTCCTTATATGCAATACGACATTAGAACTTTGTTCTATTTCCTTATTAGATCACTTGATCTGCAGGCGCATGACTTGGTATTGGGGCCAAAAAAGACAGGCAAGAGCACAATCAAGCTCAACAACCCAACGAGGGAATTAATTCTTAAATATGTCTCTATATCAGCCTCATTCAAACATCCATTTTGGCTTATTTGGTTGTGTTAGAATAAAGCTAAGGACATGAAGATCCAAATGAAAAAAGCAGCAGCAAAGCTCACACTATGTAGTCATGCAAATGATCAAAGAGAAGCTCTATCATCATAGTTGCTAAGTGCCCATTTGACAGCCACAGTTGTTTTGTGTTTAGCTTTGATCCGTAATAGAAGTGATGTTTCAGCTTTGAAGTGTGTTCAATTCTATTTGAAAGTCCGTTTGGTAACGTATATTTGTGGCAAGATTTTTGGAAGGAAAACATGTTTAGTAAAAAAAGTGTTGTAAGTTTGAAAAATTAAATAGCTAGTTAAAAATGTCACTTTCAGAGTTTTTTTAATTTTTTTTTTTTAAATCATGTTTTTGCTATAGTGCTAAAGCATCCAGAAGCATCAATTTTTTGCCTCCAATTTTGGCCTGCTTTTTAGAAGCGCTTCTATATTATTTAAATCGTAGCACACATTACCAAACACGTTTTGTGTTTTTGCTTCATTACGGGCAAAATATGAAGTAGAAGTGGTTGCCAAACGGGCCCTAAATGAAGAGATGGATTTAATTAATCTCTTCATTTGAACTTTACAAGAGTACGCACGAACTCACTGAGTTCACTCTCCTACTTACTTTTTTAAAATTTCAAAAGAATACAATTCTCCTATTGAAGAATTGGATGTTGAGATTAGGAGTCCAAACGTGAGATAGTAGGTCCCACCACAACACGGTGGTAAGGGGTTCACACCTACAAAACTCCTCATCACATGGGTAGAACCAATCACGTACTATCATGCAAACAAATATGCCAGTTTTATTCAAATTTTTTATTTCCGTGCCACTTGTAATTGACTGGGACCATGTATATAGTCCCGGAAACTTGTGGTGTGAAGCCTGCAAACTTACAAGACACTATTGAACGTATATATGATAGCTGCATGCACCAGAAACAAACACATAGCAAAATATGTAAAACATAGAGATAGATATAGATCAATGACGAATAAAAATTGGATTTAAATGTCGCAAGGAAGAGAGGGGAAAAAGAGGAATAAATAAGACATGAGAGAGAAGAAAGGAATACTTGTTTCAGAAGCTAGTTGCTGAGTTTGAATGGCATCCTCATTGAGATTCTCAAAGTGGCAGATTGAGCTTTGATATATATGTGTGTGTGTGTAGACATATAGAAGTATGAAAATCTCTAGAGGATGTAACAAAGTGTAGTCAAGGAAATCGACTGTGGTGGGCGGACAATATGAGCTTCAACATCAAAGGTGAACGAAACCAACAAGTGCGAAAAGCGTCAGTAGTTTGAACACTTTGGTCAACCTGTTCTAGAAGAACGTGTCGTTCTTAGCACAATACACTATGTAATTTACACACACACAGTCACACACTACCATTTATTCCTTAAGGGATAAGTCTCTCTATTTCACCAGAAACTTCAATATGTTTAAGGATACTTCTCATAAGTCTTCTGTTTTGACATGTATCATCCCATCTTTTTCTTTTTCTTTTTCTTTTTCTTTTTTTTTCTTTTTTTTTTTTTTTTTTTTTTTTTTTTTTTTTTTTAAACTAAATATGATTCTATAGAACGCACATAGAACGCACGGTAGTCCTTGAACTAATTAAATTTACGCACGGTAGTCCTTGAACTAATTAAATTTACGCACGGTAGTCCTTGAACTAATTAAATTTTCTTTTGACTTAAATATTTGCTTTGGCAACATGGATTAATTAAATTTGGTTCAACTTAATTAAAATCTAATTTGACAATAATTTAATTTAATATTTAGGAAAAATTACATATAAATGGAGTCAAAGTTCCATATTTACTTAGAGGCTGAGTCAAAGTTCCATATTTCTCTAAAATGGATTGTTGAGGTGGCACATAGTTTTTTACTGTTTAGAAATTGTGGTGCCTAAAATACCCTTCCGCGAAGGTACTACTTTTTTGAACTGAAGGTACTACTTTTTGGCGTCCAGGTACCATGTTTTTTAAACACCCGCGAAGATACTACTTTTTCTCCGAAGATACTACTTTTTTGAACTGAAGGTACTACTTTTTTATTAGGGAAGGGCATTTTAGGCACCACAATTTTTTAAACAGTAAAAAACCATGTGCCACCTCAGCAATTCATTTTAGAGAAATATGGAACTTTGACTCAGTTTTTAAGTAAATATGGAACTTTGACTCCATTTATATGTAATTTTCCCTAATATTTAACTCTAAATAATATTATATGTGTTCGATTGTATAAAAATAATACTTTAAAATTGAAATTAAAGAAAATGTAAACCTGATATTCAGAACTCCCATAGAGACATGTCTAAGGAGACTCCTTTTGTATAAGCATTTATAAACATGTATCATGAATTGTAGTGCAAGAAGAGCTTGCTTGCTTTCATGGCCATGTAGATATAATATTTGTACATATTTTACAATATATATATATATATATATATATATATATATATATATAATATTAGATTAGTTAGTACTATTAGCATTTGGATTGGAGATGTCTTCTTTTGGAATTTTGTCAATTTCATTATATTTTAATCCTCGGCATCTGCATTCATCCAGTTTGAATCCTAGAAGAAATAATTATGTTTGCACTTATAACCCGTGAAAATTGTAATGTACTCAAATCTTTTATTACCCATCATGAGTAATGTCGAGGTTGAAATTCACCGCTGTCTAGTACGACACCGTTTCCTGCAAAATAAGAATGGCAAAGTCAAACACCGATGTGGTGCTGGCCATTGACCCTCCGACGATCAAGTTAGTGAGGATTCTCGATAGAGAATTTTAATCGTAATTCGCTTAGTAGGAGTTTTTTTGTGTGCACCTTATTCCCGAGTCGTCTTTGTATTTATAGTCACTTCCCTTATTCTTGAGAAGGGAATTTCATCGTCCTTAGCCCATGGAGCCTATCTCGTTAAAATCTTATCCTTAATAAGATTTGAACTTACCCCATAACAAATCATATCCTAGATACGATTTGTCATCATTTTTATCTAATAGAAATGGTTATCCTTAATAACGAGATATTATCGTCTAAGAGTTGGAGAAATCTGGTGACCGGTCAATATTTAATTACCTTTTTCGTTAAGTCAAGATAGGCTAGGGTTATTTTTCCCTATCAGTTGCCCCCTATTTCTGGGTACGTGGTGGACCAAGGAAATACTTTCTATATTCCATTTGTTTCTTTTTTACTTTCCATATTGTCGTAGGACTCTTTTACAAGAGCTTCATTGTTACTTGAAAAAGAATTTTATTTCCTATAAATAAATAAATATATTTATTTATTTATTTACCTTCCTTTTCTTTTTGGTCTGAAATCCTCTAAACTGGATCCTAACTGTGAGTTTATTGTGGATCATTGTAGATACGTAATTGGGTCAAGTTGTCTCTACTGGGTTATCGGTGTAATTCCAAAGTGGTTTCGCTATTTTCGCGATATCTGATACCTCATCATGTTCGTGCAGAAAAATAACTTGAATACTGAATCTCAATCCGAAGACTCAACCTCTGAAAGTGTTGAAGAACTCGATCCTGACTATGCTGATGAATCTGGTGTTGATTAATCCTCAAGACCAAGGACTGCTTTTTCCAAGCAACCTCCTCGTGAAGGAGAATCCTTAATTAAGGATGAGAATTTACAGAATTGTAGAGTTAAATATTCCATTCCTTCATCTATTCGTTTTCACAAACCCAAACCAGAAGATAGATGTTCTTCTATTCGTTTGGGTGAGGTATGTTTTTTCGAGTCGACTTTTGCTGCGGGCTTGCGTTTTCGATTCATCCATTTGTAGATGAAATTCTTTCTCATCTGAAGATAGCTCCTTCTCAAATTGCTCCTAATTCATGGAGAATTATTATAAGCTGTTTGATTGTTTGGGGAAAGTGTGGTAATGGCCGTCTAACAGTAAATCAATTCCTGCATTTTTATTATCCTAAGAAGAAAAAAGATAATTTTTGGTACTTCCAGTGTAGATCAAAGAAGACATTCCTCCTTGTTGCAACCCCTAAAAATAATAAAGGTTGGAAGAGTCGTTTCTTTTTTATTTCCGGTGCATACGGGAAATTTCCAACTGTTTGGAATAATTCAAATCCAACAGGTAAGATTTATATGTATATAGTTTTTTTTTTTTTTTTTTTCACCCGAGGGAACAGTATCCTCGGGTACTGTTCATGAATAGTAAAATAATATATTTTTTTTGGCACCTGAGGGAACAGTACCCTGGGGTACTGTTTATGAATAGGAAAACAATATATATATATATATTTTTTGGCACCCGAGTGAACAGTACCGCGAGTACTGTTCATGAATAGGAATTTTTTTTGCACCCGTGGG